TTTTTTTTTTTTTTTTTTTTTTTTTTTTTTTTTTTTTTTTTTTTTGTTGTTGTTAATTTTAAATTTTATACTGCCATTTTGCCTATAAATATTGTTACTTTGTTTCAACGCACAAAATATATATAAGGGGTGTTTAGAAATATATTACGAAGTTAGCAGCTTTTTATACGTGCATTCTAACTTTTTTTTCGGACAGTTTGTATTTCCTCATATCTATTACATCTCGTAACGTAGAAGTGTCCGGGATATTTGGGCCATAGCAGGCGTCTACGAATATATGTACATGTCCATACTTAGAACAGGGTGCGACGTAGTGGCCATCCCCCCTGGACATGTCTGTTATATATATATAAGTACATATACTGACCTATTCTTCGTTAATGTGGAAGGTATTCATTCCCAGCTTAAGGCTTCCCTGTGCCTGTTTTTTACGTACTTGCAACATTTATAGAAGATAAGACGATGCAAATGATTATTGCTAAATCAAAAAGGGGTGCCTCTCCTTGTGAGGAGGCAACAGAGCATATAACGGATAGCTCAAATAATGCTAGTGCAAACATAGCGGAGGACAAAAGCATGGACAAAATAATAGGTGTCTTTTGCGCTTGTAAAGTTGTGATATGTGCTCTGCTTGTGTGGTTAATGCAGTGTTCCGGCATGGTAAGTTAATAAGTTGCATGTATAAGGCATTTTGTACTGCAGCTTAAGTGGAGGCCAGACGTGCATATATACATAAATACGTGTTACGTGCGAATGATCGCAAGGAAGATGTGTGTGCATAGTGGCATTCCCACTGACAACAAAGTAAAAAAAGAAAGAAATGGTTTATGTATTAATATGACTCCCTTTTTAACTCATTTTTCAATTTTTGCAGTACTCCGGTGCATACATGAAGGGTTACTACAACATGGGCAGACCAGCTGCTGTGAGGCCCAATAGACTATTGGGACAACCAGTAGTCGAATTCGACTCAATGTTCGATCTCTATCAGAAAAGCTTTTTGGACAAAATGGGATGCGATAGCAACCAAAAGGACCAAATTAAGACTATGATGAAATCATATTTCGATAAAATAGATTTGGGAGCCTTAGCTCAACAATTTCAACAGAACCCCTCCAGCATTTTGCAGTGTCCACCAGGAATGCCTGGTATGTTCGAACCTTCCAATGTTAGCATGTTTGGACAATCAAATCCAAATGAGAGTAAAAATGCAGACGCAGAAAAGAAGAAGAAAAAGAAGAATGGTCAAAAGGATACTTCAGATGATGGTGATGAGCAGGAAACAAAAGAAGAACAGGATGGCGAAAAAAAGGATGAACACAAAACACAGTTGATGTTCCCAACTAATAATAATAACCAGAGCCCTGTTTCATATTATTTGAACTTTTTCAATTTCTTGTGGTCCTCTCCCTTCATTGTTTTGAGCTCAGTTATATCAGCATGTTCTGGACAGCTTCCACTTACTGTAGCTTTAATATCCATATTATTGTTGAAAGGAGTTAATTTATCCTGGGACCTCAAAATAATGTATGATACGTTATTCCAAAAGAAAAAATAAATGGTTTATTCGTGAAATGTGGATATTCCTTTTAAGAATGAGCATTTCAGGGAGAAGGCAAGCCCACAAGAGCACAGGAAGGTTGGCGCAAAGTTATGTAACAATTTTGACGATGATGCTGCCGCGATGATTATGACGACCATTATATCGTAATAAGGAAAAGGGGAAAAAAATGTATTTATAGATCACATAAGGTGCTTAATTTAATATAGATGCATTTTTTTTTTATGTATAAAATCTGACCCCCTATCAAATTCGAGAGATAATGGGCGTATTTGAGTACCCTTCTTATGAAGGTCGGATGCTGTGTTATACTGAATCATATCATACTATGTCATATCATGTTTTTTTTTTTTTTTTTATCAATATTCCTTTCCTTCAGTATGCGACGTTAGAAGCTCGTTGTATGTGAACATGTATGTTTTCCATACGTGTTAGATACCATTTTTGTTGTTTTTTTCTTTTTTTTTTTTTGTTTTTTGTGCTACACAATAGTGCGTGTGTATATAATAAGTTAAAAAATCATTCTTCGAAAAATGTTTAGTTTTTAAGGATTAAATATAATATTTGCAATGCAGTTGTCCTGCGAGTTGATCAATGAAGCAAGTAAGGACAGACGAAGCTATGCGTCCCTCATTTATATCTTAGAAAATATGTGAACGTATGTATAAAACGTTAACATTTTATATGTGTATTATGTGTATATGGACATGTGCATATTTTTCTGTTTATAAATAAATTGCTTCTTGAAACTCTCCATTTTTATACTTATTATTAGCTGAACATTAAAAGTGAAATGTTTGTTGTGACAAAAATCTGGATAAAATGATTTTTATATGCATCTGTGCCATGTGCCTACCACCTTAGGCACTAAAAGAAAGCTGTCCATTAAATTCCCAAAATTTGTGGCAAAAACTTATTTTGGGAAGGGTCGGATATGGAAAAGGTTGTTGCATGGTAGATTGTAAAATGTATAGGTAATCGTCCTTCTATAAGGGCAACATCCCATCGTTACGCGAATCAGGAAGTTTATTTTATATTTCGCATAAATTAGAAGTTTTAATTGTCGCTCCAGGGAACTCCAATAAAGCGTGTTCTTAATTTTTATGGAAAAGGGGGAATGTATAAATTTTAAGTGTTGCTTTTGTGGTGAAGGCGGCAATTTCGAAATGGCTATCTACATGGATTATGTAGCATTGGCAGAAGGAGGGAAAAGTATATGATAAATAGAACAGAGCGAGACAATTTTTGTGTCAACAGGGTTTTATTGTTCCATTCTGCGTTCGTGTATGGAAGGTGATGGAACCTCACGACTAATACCGGACCATTAGAGTACTAAGCAGTTGTTAGTTTAAAGTGGTGCCCGTATCTGCGCCAGTGTGTAAGAATATGTATGCGTACGGAACATACGAATGTATCAATCTGTTCCGATGTGAAGTTTATTCGCCTCGGTGGCAATGATAAAAAGGAATATATGTACATTTAGGAATATTTTGGGTACAATTTTTTCTCGACTATTTATTGAATTTTGTGCACCATTGTTACGAACTGAGTAGGTATTCGGGCTTAAACTCGCCCTGCACAGTGTGCAGTGGCCTTGTTTAGACCAGACACGAAACCGCGGCTCGTGTTCTCACATCACATATAGAATGTACTTCACTGTATCATTTTAACCTTATTGAAGATTTAGAAATCGTGGGCAGTATGTGAATTCTATTTATACTGACGTGGAAAAAAAAAAAAAAATAGGGCACATGTATTGGGAAACTGCATTTTCGTCACTAAAGGAAAAAGAAGACATTATAGTTTAAAGAGAACAGGAACATATATGCACTCTGTGGATCGATACGTTATTTATTTATTTTGTTTTGTTTTCATTTTATGTGCTACGGCTTAAATTTTAAGGTACTTCGAAATTGCGGAATGCAATTGCAACGATGCACTGTTTATGTAATCATTCATGGGTGTGGTGGGGGTAAAACATATATATAAGTATCGAAGTGCAGCGAGTTTTTGTTGAAATTTTATGTTTTCCTATTTTATTTCAAGAATTATTCTTAATGTTGTGGACAATTATTATTAATTATAATTTTATTTTTTTTTTTTTTTCCCTAAGAACAGGAATAAATAATTCTGATTTGAAGTTCATAATACAATTAAATAGGAGGACAAGTTAATATGAAAAAAAAAAGCACCGTTTTTTATGTGAACATTTTTCGTGTTAACATATTTCTATATTTTTAGTTTATCTCATACCTAATGGCTTGAATTAATATGATTGGCATTTTTCTGTAAAGTGAAACTAAAATAAATTTACGTTGCTATTATAGAAATGTTCATAGAATGAGTTACGTATGTTAATATATTTTTTTATCTTTATACTATTTGTTGGAAATTGACATTGGTTGTACGAGATTGTGAGAAGATAGAAAACAAGGGGGATGAGTTACCGTGGGTCAAATATAGTAACTACGTGTGGAGGGATGGCACAAAATTTAACTGCCGATAATAGATATGGCGAAGTCGAAGGCTTAGCAGGGCAGTGTCCTCGGAAGGGAGTAATGTATACTATCTTTTTAAAGCTTTTCATGTTTGTCCTGTTCATATGGTTAGCGCAGGTTTCGCACGGGGTAAGCCAGTAAAAGCGCCTTTTTTACGATGTCGCCATTAGACTCTGTACAGATTTATATATTATTCACGTACGAATGCGTGTGTTCTGTATGCGCACATGGATGAGGACGTTTCATGTATTTCTTCTCCTTCCCATTTAAACGTCCCCAACTATATTCAGAACACAGATCACAGAGTTATAGAAGGGACACCCCAGCAAGGACAAGCGTCCGTACACAAAAACACTAACAGATTATTAGCAGAAGGGCGAATGGATTTCGACGAAGTGTATGGGACATTCAAGAAGCAGGTTTTGGAAAAGTTGGGATGTGATGAAGAACAATGCACAGCAGTTAAAAATTCTGTGAAGTCCTATTTCGATAAAATAAAATGGAATGTGAAGGATCAACAGGGTGCAGAGAAATCTGGGGAAAGAAGTAAAGCATTAGAGTGCGCTTCGGAGAAGGGGAAGGAAGGAAGCGACAGTTATAAATATACGGGAGCTTTAGGCTCTCTCATACATTTAGTTTTAAATTACAAGCTTACATCTCTCACCATTCTTATCCTAGCTCTTGCATACTTTAAGTCTCGATATTTATTCGTGGTTATGGGCATAGTTATACTGCTAAATATATTTTGGGAACTGGAAAGTTTAAATAAAAAATTGAAGAATCCGTAACACTTTGCAATGTTTATTCTTGCCCAGATTATTCACTGAACTAGGGGAGACATATAAAATGACAAGCTTTTCAGAGGTGAGGTAACAGTAGTGTATTAGCAAATGGGCAAGGAACTATTTATAATATATTGGTTATATGAAAAGGATATCTTTGTGGGTAGCTGGATGGTATATCGGGAGTCTGTCTATTGGCGCTCACAAGAACGTGTTCAACATTTTTTAAGACGAAGGAAAAGAATCATACTTTCAAATTGTGTGTATATACATGCAGCATAAGCGGGACAAAATAGTGCCAAAAGGTGGACATGTGGGCATATAGACATATATATCTTCACCTTACGTGCGCTTACAATGTATATCTAGCAGGAGCATTATCATTCGTAAATTATTATTTTAACAGATGGTGATGGATATGACGAAACCTTTGAAACCTCGCATTTCGTGCTTCAGTTTAATGCTTTATGTTTACACTTTAAAAGAATGGATCATATGTTCCCCATTTGAGGATATCACATTTATTTTAATCATCCTTTTTATTGTGCATGTATGTATATGTATATATGTGCTTTTCTTTTTTTTCGTTTGTTTGTTTCGTTGGGGGCGAGTATGAACTCAGCCCCATTGTGCGCTTTCGGAGCTTACAAGCATATTCCATTTTTTGACGTTCTGTACTGAATTGTTCTTAAACCGAAACGGCTCCGTGACGGATGCCCGTGCAAATGTGCAATATTATGATAACAGTGGCATTAATTTGGAAAAAATAGTTTAACGTATATGAAAATCTCTGTCTGTTAACCAGAAGATCGAGGTTGAGAGTATGCTCCGACATAATATGCCATAGAATGTACCATGATATGTTATTTTAATTTTTTTTTTTTTGTGACAGTTTATTAAATTGGTTATGGTGGATTATGGGAAACGGGTTATTTTGTGCATACCTGGAGGGTCATCATATAGGAATTGATAGCTTTAAAATTTCATATTGCATCGAAGGAGAACAAATCAAAAGGGAGAACAAGAAAAAATGAGAGTACGAACATTTTGCCTATTCGTATATTTCTTATAGCTACATAATTGGGATAAAGCAATACTGATATAGCGTAGGCTGTATTAGAAAAGTGATATACCAGACGCATTTATAACTATAAGCACAGTTGGGGGCATTTTACTGACATATTTTCCCCCATTCCCGTTTAGACGTAAAATGAAGAAGGCGAAACTCCACAGTACGTATATTATTTACTGCTACATTTATTTTCTTCTATTGAAGACCATGCACGGGACTTTTGTCTTACCCCGCGAGATGGTTTACGACGAACTCCTGGGTACAATAACAATTAGGTTGTGACATTGTGCGGGGACTGTGAGGGAAATGACACGCACGGTTTATGTCCGTCGTTTAACTCTCAGACTATGGGTACGATAAAGCGTAATGCATAAGGAGCCTCATTTTTACAGTAAAACTTGTACTTAAGATTTATGTTTTACAAACTGTGAGTCTTTGTTTCGTTAAAATAATGGAAAAAGGAGAAAATTCCTCCCCGAAGCCTTAACAGAATAGCTATAATAATTCTATGCTTATTTGGGTTCCTCATTGAGTTACTTAAACTATGAAATGGAAAACTGCCTCATTTCTATAAACAGTGTTCTTAATGGCTTTATCAGTGTTATTTAACAAGAGGTATACATTGAGTCTTTAACATAACATGTTTTAAGGCAGAGATGAAATGTGGTTTTACAAAATTTGCTTTAAGAAGACGCTTCTGGGGGTAGTGGAATTATTTTAATACATCAACGGATGAAAAAAAAACAAAGTGTTTACATTAGAATTAAAATTTTTAATTGAATTTTTTTAGAAGCCAAAATTTTCGTAAATGAAAGTATATATATATATATTACATCTTAACGCTTCTCTGCGATAAAGAAGGAGCAGAATTTGCGCTCATATAATTTGTCGGCCTTTTTTATTTTGTCATGTTATCCTACATTAGTAGATAGCGTGTTATTGAAGTATATATACAATTTTTCTGTATAATGGACGAATTTAAGGAAAGTAGTTTTTCCTGTTATTTTGCCTGCTAATTTTTTACCCTGTTTGGAATTCCCTGTATTTATAATGTATTGGGTTTAGAATTGGAACTTTTTCTAGAATTGTACGGATATATAAAATGGTAGAAGTAACTTTTAGCGAATCCAGTGCTGATACATATATAGAATCGACAAAATGTGAAGTGCTATGTTTTAGAAAGGAGAATGGGCATGCCTCAGGAACCAGGGGAAATGCGCGTGATAGAATAGGCAACGTTAACCTTTTTAAAGTTCTTATATTTTTCCTTTTAATATGGATAATACAGTGCTCAGGCGAGGTAAGCTTGTAGGAAGCTTTGACAACCCTGTTGCTGTAATATTAGGGGCTTATGTGTGTACACAAGGCTAGTGTATATCAATGATGATGTTCATAGAGGCAAATATATGTAAGGTCCTTAAACCTAGTTACATTGTCACCGATATGAAAATGAACCTTTTGTTTTTTTTTTTTATCCTCAACTATGACGATTAATAGGACAGGATTCATAAAGTCAAGAATGATGGGGTAATTCCCCAATGCTTAGGCATCTACAGATTATTAGCAGAGTCCGAAGTGCAATTCGATGCAGTATTCGATTTATATAAGAAAAACTTTTTAAATAAAATGGGATATACTGATGAGGATTCGGAAAGAATCAAAACAACTGTAAAACCACATTTAGATCAAACGGAAAGTATGGGCATGGATGAGGAGCACCGGAAGAAGTTGGAAGGTTGCGAGCATATTATAAAACAAGGCAGTGACAATAGCATTTCCAAGTTTTCCAGCAATTTCAGAGTATTGTCTTCTCCCTATTTTCTTGCCTTGTGTTCATTCATATCGTATTATAATGGATATTACAGATTTTTTTTAGCTATGGTGGGCATAATGATTTTGAAATTTATAAATTTCTTTTGGGATTTGGAATATATCTTTAGAAACATGAAAGCAAGTACGTAGTATAATAGAGACTTATCAGGGGCAGTTCATTTTGCTCATTTTAGAATTATAGTAAAATGGTTTTACACTTACGTGGATGCAAGAGGACATCATGAAAACTAATGGAAAAAGGACAGAACGAACAGAGAAAAATAGCTTTCAACAATGTGCATACTTATTATTGCGTATGTATACGATACCTGATGCGTAATCATTACTGGTTTATTCACTGCAACAAATTCACAGTACCCTATCATCCCCAGTGAAACGGCAAACTCGGGGCGCGCAAAGGGAAAGGATGCTAGCCACGCTCAAAAAAAGTTGCGGATGCATTTCTTACATAACCCGTCGCGTAACAGTATATGAGTTTGTATCATATGATACATAGCCCATGTTACTGTTCTCGTGGAAATAAGTATAGTGTCCCAAAGAAATATGAATTCGGTGGCATTTTTTTTTTCGTGAAACATTTAAAAAATAGAAAAATGTTACATTTTATAAAATCATCCCGTGTACTCTATATTCGTGGTAATCATTACATAATATATATTACACATAGGACACAGAATACATATGCATTATATGTGTTTATATACATATATAAAATGTAGTATAACGCATTCCCATGGGGAGTACGCTCCCTTTTTCATAATATCGATAAAGAATTAATTACATAAACAAACAGCGTAATATACGCGCAAAATATCTGTATTAGCAAAAATATAATCAATATTATAATTTAAGACGGAACTACAGGATAAGTACTGTAAATATGAGTACACATCATTATACAAATTCTACGGAATATTATAAACAAGGCTATCAAGTAGATATATAGAAGCATACTGTACCTTTGAAGTTGCCTACCAGAAATAGAATACCGAATATATTTATGGTGTCTTAGGTAATTTCAGTTTCCAGCGTACTTTCCGTTTCCCTGGCGCTTCTTGCTTCTCAGGTACTTGCGGTTCTCCAGGTACTTCTGTTTTCTCAGACTTCTCAACCGGCGCTTTTTCCTTGGAAGGATCTCCTGTGGGACTCGCGCATGCTTTATTTGGTTGAGGTGTTTGCATATCAGCGCCACCCTCCAGTGACCCTTCCTGGGGCTTCTTTTCTGCTTTTTCGCCTTGTTCCTCATTCTGTAAAACTTGGGATGATCGCTCCGCTCCAACCTTGGAATCTAATTTCCCCCTGGAGCCGTACGGCATAAGCGAAACCGTAAAACCTGGAACCCTCATACCAAAGGCATAAGGATCATTCTCGACGTATATGATTCTAGGGCAATTGGTTCTTGAAGAACAGCTATACATTCGACTGCTGTTTTAACAATGAGTTCTTTCCACGTTTCTCTAAAATCATTTAAGATCTTTTTGAATTCATGTGTGCTCAATTTTTCCTTTGCAGCCATGGTATAAAATACTTCACTAACTTGTTCATGCTGTTTTGTCAAGTTATTATTAATTATCTCTTCACATTCACGCCATTTCTTGCTAAATATTTCGAGAGTTGCAATAGCTTGTTTTTTTTGTAATTCTAAAAATTTTTCTTGCAAAGATTTTTTAAGAGCAAAATATTTACCTCTTTCATTT